CAGTACCTGTATCAACATAAAACCAGCTAAACGACCCAAAAAATGGGGTAAAATCCCTAATATATGATACAACATACTTGGGAAACTTTTGTCGTTGCAAAACATCTACGGCCCAACTTCTTCTGTTCTTGAACTTTTGCAAGTGCTAATAGTTGCAGCTGCTATCTCACAACTTCTCCTGCAACTTAATGAAACACATAATATAGTGAATAGGTGTAAAGAGCAATGAAATCTTCAACAATGGCATCAAAAGAATAGAATAAATTTTGCAAAACAAACCTTTTGGGAAATGAAGGAACAGGAAAAGAAAAGATCTGTAAACATTGCTTCTGGTTCTGGTTCTTGGAATTGTCTCAAAATATACATCACTTCTGGTTCTGGATATTAGGCTACACATCCAAAATAACAGACTAAGGATTCTACTATTTTCTATAAAGAAGAAAAAATGTTTGAGTTTGATTACCTGTATCAGAGAAACACTGTATCTCTTAGACATAGCTAAAAATATCCTTCCTACTCTTAATTCCTTCAACTCCAACACACAGCCAAGTAGAGAAGAAAATAGTCTTTATGGATTGAAAAATAACTACACCAATTTGAAAATGATATACCTAAGAACTCAACAGTTCGAAAATGGCCATGAAAAAGTTTGTGAAAGAGTTTGTACTTGGAAACTGACGGATCCTCTTACAAATGTTGGTGCCTCTGTAGACAAAACACAAAAAGATGTTTAGAATGTTTGGAATGAGAAAAAGCTTGGAAACCAAAGAGAGAGGACTACTTTGAGAAAGGATCATGGGTTAGTTGGGGGTGATAACGACAGCCATATGTATGTATGTAGGAGATGGTAATTGGTGGTGACATTGTACCAAGTCAAACAAGTAGAAGTGGCACTCACATTTCATTCTGATCTCTGCTTTTTAATGGTGGCTAAATGCATGGTTCAAAGTATTGATACACCTCTATGTATTGGCACTTTGAACCATGTGGCTTTTTATTTTTTAGTTTTTTTTAATTTCAGTTTTAATACTACTTTTATATATATTATTTAATAAAAAAAGCTCCCGAAAACACCTGTAAACAGGTGTATTGGGCACCTAAAGATACAATACAATATGCCAGATACGAGGCATATTGTATTGATACTTTGAAGCTTGGTTGAATGGTGAGTTCCTCACACTAAACATTTTCTTCAAACCTGGTTGTCTGTATGTTGAAGTTAAGAACTCTCCAAAGTCATCTTAGAAAGTTAGGCTGATCTCAGAATACATTGATTGTCTGTATGTTGAAGTTAAGAACTCTCCAAAGTCATCTTAGAAAGTTAGGTTGATCTCAAAATACATTGATTGTCTTAAATACCTTGAGAAGAAATTCTTTGCAAATGTTTCTGGAGGTCAATTTGAAAAATATCGATGAAATCCCATGCTTCATTTCATATTTCTCATGGTGTAAACTTGTATTACTATTGTTTTGGTGAAAAGCATTTGGAATTCCTTATGGAAAGTTAAAGATAAAGATAACTACAAGACAATTTCTTTAGCCTATGTTTGGATTGATGGAGTTCAAGGATAGAATGGATATGGTCCTAGATTAAGTGTTTCAGAGGAGTTTCTCAAAGAAGTGAAGGATGGGTTAGGGGAGGAGGGAAAAAGTCATGGAAGGAGCAGCAATATTGAAGTGGGGAGAGATTTTGGAGAGGGTGAAGGGGGAAGCTTGGCTGATGCCACAGGTTGCAGAGACTCTCTCCAGGTTGAGAGATCGAGACCAATTGATGATCACCTTGTTTTTGAGGGCGTGGTAGTTGGAAGGATAGGTATGGAGTTGGGTTGAAGGAGGAAGGTCGGAGAGAAGAGTTTGAATGCAGCTGTTGTGACGGCCACTAAGAAACCTCGGGGTTCAAGAAATCTTCAAATTGTTCATGTCAAGAGAGTCTTTTCTCATTGGAAACTTGGTCTGGTGGGGGCGGGGCCTAAAAAAAATTTTAAAAAGGTGTATAAGAGAAAAGGTGTCAAGATGTTTGCGCCAATTAATGATGGTGTTATTGGGGAAGGTTCTCAGTTTCACTGCAGATTGGATTCTCAGTTGGAGAATTTACAGCAAGAAAAAAAGAGAAGTGTAGAAGGAATCAAATTAGAAGCTTGCCTATTGAGAAAATTGTTGAAAGAGATGAGCGGTAGTGGATGGCAAGAGGCTTGGTCTTTTTTTTTGGGTGGTAAGGGGTTTGCTAGAAGAGTGTTCAAGGAGTTTGAGAGGTCAAGGAAAGAAGAAAGGTTGAAAAAAGCTATTGTTGGGGAAGGTGGCAAGATTTGGAACGAGGATGATGAAGGATGGGAGGAAATGTTTGAGGGGGATGACTTGGGAGTTGGATTTTACAAGGTGCTGTTTGGATTCAATGCAGATGGACATGTGTGGAGTCTTCGGGTTCCAGGGTTAGGGGATGTTTCAGTGGAACTCGGATGAATCTGTTGGCTCTCTGGTTTTATGAGTCCTTGTTTTGAGTTTGCTGTAAGTTTTTGTTGGTTGCCTTTTGTGTCTTAAGTGTTTGTGTCTTTCCCTCGGGTGATAACTTGTCACCTTTCTTTTGTATTCTTTCTTTTTTTTTTAATGAATTTCCTTTTTACTATAAAAGAAGTTTCCAGACTCCACTATTTTAGTAGCAATACAAAATTCAAAACCATTAGGCACACCAGTCCCAAGTTTTTTGCTTTGAAATTCCATAGGAGAATAATTGTTTAAATTCCTTGGAATTGGGTCAGAGCTGGAATTCAGTTTTATGTCTGCCAGGTTATCCAAATGAAGCCTTAAGGGTGTTTTTTGTTCAAGGAATTGCAATAAACTTGAGAAATTGCAGTTGAAGGAATTTTCATAATGTTCATTTCATGTCACCTGAAATTTGTTATTTGGCTTCTATGTGGTTAGGGGTGGGAATTTGTTTAATATACCTTGCTGCACCATGAGAAACTCCATCAGAACCCCTCTTTTTGTTTTCCTCATTTTGCAAGACTCCATCTTTTGGTGTCAGGGCAGCCACTTTGTGGACTTTTTGGGAGGAAAGGAATGCAAGAATCTTCTTAGAGAAGGAAAGAGGATTAGATGAAGTGAAAGACTGCATCCTAACAAGAGCAATCCATTGGCTGGAAACCTTGGATATTTTTGATGATTTCTCCTTTGATGACTTGTGGAGGAATTGGTTAGCAATAGCTAACACTTCAACAAAGAAGAATAGAATTCTCTCAGAATGGGTTCCGCCTTTGGAAGGTGTCATCAAGTTGAATTTTGATGGAAGCAGCCAAGGTAACCCCAGGCCTTCAGGTATAGGGGGTGTCCTGAGAAATAAGGACAGCAACATAATTTCCTTTTTCTCAGGACCGGTGGGAGTGGGGGACTCCACAAGGGCAGAAATCCTTGCTGCAGTACAAGGAATTTAGATTGCTAACCAGCTTGGGGGGGAGCATCTTCTAGTTGAAGGGGACTCTCAGGTGGTAACAATGTGGCTTCTAAACCCGGATACTACCATTTGGGGTTACAAAGATCTCATAAAAAAAGTAAAGTGGTTAACCAACAATATGAGAGTTGAGGTAAAATGGGTTAGCAGGTCTGCTAATTCTATGGCTGATGCTTTAGCCAAACAGGGGGTTTCCAGGGAAGATCTTTTTTGTGCTTCTTTGTAAGTTATTATTAATCTGGAAATCTGTACTTAACTAGCCTGGAGAGGTTGCAACTCGTGCCTCTCCTCGGGGACTTTGTACTATTGCCTATTGCTGATTAATAAATTTATTTCAATTATCAAAAAAAAAAAAGACTCCATCTTTTGGTGAGACCTCAGCCTTGTGGTTGTAGATGGATGAATGATAATCAAAGATAAACAAGTGAAGCATGGAATTATTCATTTTATGGAAATTGATGTTGCCATCACTATGAGTGAAGCATATCAATTGGAGCATCTCGTAGCAGCAATTCAATGGAAATTTTTACAATTAGGAAGAAAAAGAAAAATAGAAATGGGAGAAAAGATGGTGTTTGACTTAGTTGCAGCAATTAATGTCCAACTTTGTTTCAGAGAGTGGATTGTCATGCAAAACTATTATATTACCAGTGAAATCCAGTGGTCAGTTAACAACAATTTAATAACAGCAATTAAGAGCTACAAGTTATGGTCTTGTTGGGTGAAATTTATTGCAAGGATTAGGTAAAAGGAGGTGCACATGTCACATACTTAGCCAGGAGTCTGACTTAGAGGTGTTCAGTAATAATCTGTCACACTGTAGCTTCATGCCACTGGCTTTTCAACCAAACACAATGATCAATTGTGTGAATTAATGGTTCTTCTCATATTGGGTTGAATTACTATCACGACACTGTCATCAGTTGGGTAAAACTAACCTGTCTCAATGGTCGAAACCTGATGTGGGCTGAATGGTGAAATTTGAATAGTGATCGCAAATCACTGAATTGATTCTTTTGCTGCAGGCAAATATCTGATCACCAGCGATGTAATTTAGTGTGTTCCAGAAATTTGAGAAAATATCCCTTCTCACCAAAAAGAAAATCCTCTGGAATTGGGGAAATTTCAATTCTATCCCTATAAGTTCTCAGCCAAACATATTAGTTGGAATTGTGTCCCGAAATCCAATTTGAAACCACTTATTCCAGGACTCCATAAATGAAATGGGTCCTTGTTTCTTCATGGTAAAGATCATATTAACATGTTAAGAAATCATGTTGATTTATATTATCAATGAATTATGCAGCTGCATTCTTATCAGCAAAAATCTGAAAGCTTACAGATTGAAGAGTGTTTAAATTGGACTTTATTTTCTGCAGAATCATTATCACATTAATTTAGTCATTTTCTAAATGCATTTGCTTCACATTATGCATAATGTTATTTATGCACCTTGTCTTTCTAGAATTGTTCAATCTAGGTGATTTGTGGTTTGATTTAGGACCTCAAGTGGTCTGATAATTTTCCTGTTTTATGATTCATTTCTCCCTTGTAGGGCATCATTGGCCTTGAAACAGAATATGGAGTCCTACATATAAAAGTAAGTTTTTGCATTTTCAACCTGTGCTTTTGATATGTTTATCACTATTGATATATTGTGTAGATATCGTTATGTTGATTTTTTATTGCCAAAGACTTATTCTTTTTAATATCAAAGATTTTAAGCTTGAGATCTTTCTTTTTATCTCGTCATTTAACCAAATATCTTTTCATTGATAACAATAAAAAAAGTATATATATAATATATTATATATATGTATATACATCAGCAAGTACAATCACCTGGATTAGCAAGAAAGTGAACCAAGAAGAACCTTAGCCCAACAGAGGCTTCCCTGTATATCATGTACAACACATACAATAAAGTACTGAATATGTGCCAGTGAGCTAGGCCTTAATTAAGCTCCCTTCTAATCATCAAAAATTAATTTTCTTTGGCATAAAAATACCTTTTAAATATCATTTTTTTTGTACTTAACACATATAGGTTTAGTTTTAACACATATAGGGAGGGTTAAGTCCGTGAACCATAATGTTAGGTTCGTATCCAGTCCACCTCTTCCAAAACCCCTTATAGCTGGGACCAACATCGGGTAGTGGTCTTTCTTAATACATAGGGAGGGCATTTAGGTCATGTAGACCACATAGCTTACACGACAAAATAAACATATGTTTCTAGTGTCTATTTGTTTGTTCAATTTGCATCATTATTGCACCAAACCATACATATTTTGTTCAATGTGCTTACAACTCTACATGTTTATTTATTTGGATATACTATTTTTTCTTTTGGTTTCTAATTTTTCTTACAAGCTGTACTTTTTCATTGTGTTAACATGTTTATTCAATAAGTATATTTGTATTTTATGTATTTTTTCTTGTTAATTATTTCTTTACAATTTGCCAATGTATCTAATATTTATACTGGTTTGATTTTAGTTTCTGATTTTTATTATATACTATCATCCAGAAATGCGGATACATGTCTATTCATTTTGCATTTACCAATTTGTTTTGTTCAGTTTGTGTGTACATCCATGTGGAAATTATCTCTATTTTCTAGTATATCTAATTATTTCTATTATTTAACTTTTTAATTTTTGAAGCTTGCATCTTGCCTCTTCAGGTCTTTATGCCTCAACCACACTTTTAGCCTTTTAAAACCTTGGTGATAATATTGTCTTTCAGAACATGTATTCATTAACTAATCATTAGAGGTGTACTCCTTTTGGAAAAAAATGTGATATGCCCAATTTGTACCTATCTTTTTAATTTTGATATTGACAGATTGAGAAATGGGTGTTTAATGTACTCCGAGTATGAAGACTGTTGCAGAACCTTTTCTTTTGTTTTTGTTCTTTTATTCCTGTGGTTGTACTCCATTATTTTGATTGCTCTTCTAGGACCAAATATCACTTGCAGAAAGTCTCTCCTCTACCAATAAAAAAAAAGTCTCTCCTGTACAAGAACAAAATTTTCCTTTTTTCTGATAATCTTCACTTTGTTACAGCTTTTCCCGGATTGTGCACCACATTCTGTGGCTTACATTCTTGAGCTGTTGGGATTGCATCATTGTGCGGGCTGCCAATTATATCGTGCAGAAGGCCGCGGAAGCTCTTGGGATTCAGAAGGAAACCACATTAGCAACGTGAGAATTATTTAATTTCTCCTTCAAATTCACTAATTCTTCATGCACATTCCTTTTCTCCACCTTTTGGAATTCACATGAAACATGATTTGTTCAAGTTTGCGAGGTAGTCTGACATGTTCCTTGTTATTTCACATAAGTTCATTTTTGCTCCTTTCAAGGGTAGATAACAAAACTGTGTCACCCATTTTATTATTGAAGTTTAAGATTCTATAAAACACGGTTGGGTAGCATTGCTAGCCCACATACATAGGGATGCCTGGCATATTCTGCATATCTTATTCTTTTATTCATTGAGCAATAAAAGGACCAGTTATTGATCAACAAGGAGATTCTCTCAAACATGGGTGACGATGTTTTGATATCTACAGTTGAAAGGAGCATTAACTCTTAAGGTGAGAGTTTATTTCATTTCACATGACCTCGATAGATGGTTAGTATAAAAAAATAAGACTACAAAGAAAAAGAGGTAAAATTGGGACATTTAGGAGAAAAGAAAGATAAACAGTATAAGATAATGTGATGCAAACTATATATTATGTCTTATGGGTGACTAGCATCCAGTTAGGGTGCTGATTTGGGGACACCTTTCTAGATAAGTAGCATACATCATTCACCACTAGCCACAGTCATCCCTCTCTTCAATTGGTTGTCCCTTGCAAGGATTTTATTCAAGCAAACACTCCATATGAAAAAACCACTTTGGATGGCATGTTCTTGCACCAAACTTTGCTTTCTGGAAAGTCTTGGTCCTCTAGAAGAGTCAAATGGTTGTAAAATGAACTGACAGAAAACTGACCCAATTTTTCCTATGTCCATTTCCTTGTATCCTTTGTTAAAGTCAATATGTGGGCTGTATAACCTTTGCATTAGCTCCAACATGGGTCCAACTTCACAATCATTCTAGTTTCTATGGAATTTTGGGGTACCCACACAATCAATGTTCCCATCTTGAATTTGTGTACAATTTGCCACACTCACCTCCTTGTCTGCAGCTACATCAAAAAGAGATGGAAAAACCTCCATTAAGGAACTATTTCTGCACCAGCAATCCTTCCAAAACTTCACTTTTTGACCGCTTTATACATATTCAACTATTATCAGGCTCTGCAGGAAAAGCCACCCGTATACAGTGAGATTGAGTGACTAATATATATACTTAACACATAAGGCAACCTAACTAGACAGAATCGACACATATGTAAGAACTAAAGTTACCTCTAATCTATTATAATATATTAAAGGAAGGTCGTCAGGCAACAGCCCCCCACCCTTCAGACACATGGCATTGTAAAATTTCAATAGATAGAATCTTAGAAGAGGTTAAACTCTCACTCTTACACAAAAAAGTGATAACTCCACTCTCTTAAAATTCAAGCACGTCCCTAAAAAGTGGTCACTTCAAATGTTATGGTAGTAACTGAATTTTATTCAAACACAACCATTTCAAAAGTAATGATTAATTATAAAGACTTCTATTGGTGTGAGTTTCATTCTTTTAGATGAAATAGTTTATTAATTGCAAACTAGATTTAACTTTTTTTTGGAAGCGTAACCTAATTTAGCTTTTAAAAATAAATTTATCAAATAAATAGTAAATATCAATTAAACTGGGTTACTGTTTACAAATAAGACCTCATTTAATCTCTTAAATCATATTAAAAACAACATAAATTAATAGTGATTTTCAAACAAAGTAGGTCAGAATAGATTGTCAATTACAAGGATGTAAGACCCATGTTAATTTTTTATAGTTAAATAGTAAATTTCAAATTAAATGATATTGTAGTTAACCCTTACTTAGTATGGGGTCATTCTCTAGATAAAACATGGTAAGTCTCTTAAATCAAATAAAAACCCTAACCTAAGTGTCTAATATAAATAATTTAAAAAATTGAAATAATTCAGATTAATGCTCCCGTACTTGGTACAGAAGTCATTCCTAGTTATAATAATGAAAACGGAGCATGTCTGCTAGTTGAGTCATTTAGCAAGCCCTCTATTGGCTCTACCCACCCTCTACTCATGGAAGTTTTCCTTGTGTGCAAAGCAAACCCTCTTTCATAGGCAAGTTTTTTATGTTAAAAAATAAAACTTTAAGTGGCTAATGTGGACTGTGGGATTGAACATTTGATCAAATCTAGTGGGTCTCTTATCTGGTGGATGGTTTGGGTTGGCAACAGTATGTCTTCTGTGGTAGATCCACATAAATAGGTGGGTTTGTATACGGAAGCTCCCTACTTGACCCGAATGGGAAATCCTTCTCCTAATAAAAATGAATGCATAGAATTATTTTTTCCTTGAGCAATACTGCTCATACTAGTTAATAACCCCATACCGAGTGCTGGGAAACTATATGTATGTATTTTGTTTTGAGACCACTATCCAAGGGGTAAGTCTTGAAGCATTTAGGCTGAGTTTTTATTTGATTTAGGAGACTAAATTGGGTTTGGTTTGTGATTAAACATCCCACCTTATCTAGAAGAATCAGATCCACACCAATGTAGGTGGCGTTTGGTACTGCGGTAGATACCCATTTTGTTTGGTTCTGGAACATGCCACAGCAAACACATGTTTTTTTATGCCATGGCGTGTTTTCAAACTGGCTGAGTTGGTTTTGGAACACAAAATATTGTAGATTTTGTAACACACCGAAATCTTGTATTCTAGAACACTGCACTTTGGGACACTCAATAAACATTGACTTAATATATTTTGACAAAAATATTTATATTTTAAATCCCAATACTTTGGAACACACCACACCACTACAGTATAGAACATTACTAAAGGTGGTGATTTCCAGAACCTACCATTTCAAACACACCAGTGGGGTCCAGTAGCCAAGAAATATGCCACACTTTTTGTGGCCATAGTACCAAACTTTTATGGAAAAATTCCCGATTAGTACCCTGTACTTTGGGCCTAGTGCCACTTCGGTCCCCGAACTTTAAAACGCGACAATTCAGTGCCCGAACTTTCAAAATGTGCCAATCCAGTACCTGTCGTTAACTAGCCGTTAAATGGCATGTGAAAAGACACAAATGCCTTTTGGGTGTCATCTTATTTTCTTTATCAACCATCCAAATGCTCTTCTCAAAATTAAAACACTGTTAATCATATTCTTCCTCAAGAAGATGAAGATGTATAAGTTTTTGGTACAATTTTGCAAGGGAATGGTAATGATCAAGCTCCTACAAAAACCAGAAGACTCCCCTCAAACCCTGCTAACGAACAGTGTTTCAAAGGGTTGTTCACCATTGCTTTGATTTAATCTTAATTCCTGGGGAAGAAGATGATGAACAGTGTTTCGAAGGGTAATTTTGATAATTTCAAAAATTTCAAATCGCACATGTCATCACCTGATACACATAACTGACGGCTGGTTAGCGACATGTACTGGATTGACACGTTTTGAAAGTTTGGTACTAAATTGTTGCATTTTAAAGTTCAGTGGCCAAAGCGGCACTAGGTCCAAAGTACAGGTAATCAGGAATTTTCCCAAATTTTATATATATATATATATTAAGGGATAACTTTGGATGTAGAGTGGTTTCCACACCTAGTCACATGTTTGAAGGAGAAGCCTCTGGTTATAGTGTCGTCCTGCTTGAATTCCCAACTCTTATTCTCCTTCCCCTTTTCTCCATCTTGATTTCCCATTATAGTTTTGTTGTTTTTTGAAGATTTAGAAGTAAACTTGGAGGTTCAAACCACTGGATCTGATGCTAAAATTCCTTGACAGGCTACACAACTTTTCTGAAGCATGCTTTCTACTCTGTTACTTTCTTCTCATAGCTTTTCTTTTGTGAATCATTCAGGCTCCTCTTGGCCCCCCGTTTGCACTGCTACAGGGAACACTTGAAGCCCAAGGAACCACATTTAAGAAAATTCCAACTGAAGCTTGCCCAGCTATAAGAAGAGGGTCGGTTGCATGGGTTGGCTCTGGTCCAGAGTTTTTTATAAGCCTAGCGAACCACGATGAGTGGAAAAAAGCCTACACTGTTTTTGGTTCTGTTCTTCCAGAAGATATGGAAATTGCGGAAAAAATTGCGCAGCTTCCTACCAAACCAGATTTGTGGAATAACATTGAAGTTTCAGTCTTGGAGAAACCTATCCCCTTGTCATTCCGGAGAATCAAGATGAGTCATGGAGACCTAAATCTCTTGAATGGTTCTTAGGTGTTAGGATGTCCTCAACCTTCTGGTTTTGTTTTCACACTTAGTCTCCAGTTTATGGGCGTAATGATATTGTACAAGCTTGAATGCATTCAGTTTTGTATGCCTATTAGTTTACAGATATTTGAATCCCCAGATTATTAACATCCAGTGTTAGATATACAAGCCTTGGTTGTAATTCCTTTTAGGCAACTCTCTTGGTGGATAACACGTTACTTGCAGAAGTCTAAGCTTGCTGATCACTTATCACGATGATGTGCAGTGACTGCATGGGTTAATAGGGAAATAAACAAAGCTGGGCCTCTTGCTTTTGAACAAATTCGAATCAAGTTAGGTAGGTCTCTCCCCAGTGTTTTCAAACAGCCATTGAGCCGGACGGTCAGACCGTTTAACTGGTTTCGTTTCACCCTTAATCCAGTAATTGGTCAAAAATCATTGATTTGGTCAGTGACCCACTGACCCGGGCGGTTGAACCGTCAATTCATTTGACCTATTCAACAATTTTGGCTGTTTTTTTTTTAATTATTATTTTTTTTAAGTTGGAAAAGGGCCATTCATTTGAATTGGATGGTTGAACTGTTGACCCAGAAACCGGTGGCCAGAACGGTCCCGGTTTCAAGTCAGTTTTTAAAACCTTGTCTAATTCAAGAGTACCTGTGTAGGTGGCATTAAAACATTGACCGTTTGATGTGAGTTGAAATGTTGAATAATAGAGATAGTTGACGTAAAGGGATGGCAATCCATGTGTAGTTTACTAATGCCTGTAATCTAATCACTTGGCACACTAAGCAATTCCATGGTTGGATTGATGAACATATTTTGCCATGATAAAGGACTTGAGATGGGTCATCGTGTTTGGGAGGGAAGCTACAGAAAGTCCATAGTCAGTCAATCAATTAACTTTGCCATCATGGAAAGTAGGGCACAAAATGGATGAGGACACTTGTCACCTCCACTTTTGATCGTTTAGAGAGAGATTCCGGATCTATAGCCACAGACACCGCTACTGTGTATTGGGAACATGAGATATTCTTAATGTGCAACTGTTATATCCCCTGGGTTGGGATGTAAAAATAACTAATGGGCAGCAGATCCGAACAGAGAACGAGAGATTGTTTGGAAAGGTTTCCTATAAGCAACTAATTTATTTTTATGGTTCTTTCTTAAGTACCAACCCAGGTTAAAAAAATAATGTAAGAAATCCAAAAAGCAGGGAGGTGGCATCATTGCAATTTGCATACAGTAGTTAGTATAATAAACTGTAATCCATCGTTTTCAACCTTGTCGCGAAGATCTTTGCATTCATTTAAAAAGTGGACTATAATAATATAAAACCAACAATGTTGGATCAAAATCCTCTAAAAAATTGTAATTAAATAATACTCTGATAGTTTAAAAATTAAATAATAGCAGGATAGCTTTTGGGTCGCTTTCCTACAAAAATTTTCTCAAGGAGACTTGAGCGCAAAAGCTGGCTGGGATTGGTTGGCCGGCCAAAGGAGATAAGATAAAATTTGAATGGACTCGACTCCAAACCCGAGTGTAAAATGTAAATCCGAACCCGAAGTTGTAAATTGTTCATGGGCCGAGCTGGAACGCTGGGCTCTTAGGTGGTGTGTCGAAGAAAACAATAACGATCAAGTATATGTTTGGCATCGATGTTGCAGATGCAGTACTGTGAAGCATGTTTTCTTCTTTATTTTGTTTGGAATCTTTGCTGCCAGGTAAGATGTTTCTTGGAGCAATAACTTTTTTGTTTGGTATCAGTGCTTCAAAAAACATTTTCTCACTTTGACCCATTATCCATTATCACATCACTGCCCTGTTGACAGCAACGAGCTACTCTTCAGGAAACACCAGATTTAGCATTGCTCCAAATCATGTCTTTCTGATTTTCAAAATGTGATTTAGAGTACCATTTTCTATAAAAAAATGATTCCAAACAAATAACTGTTTTCTAAAATATCGATTTTTTTTTTTTTTTTTAACATGGCACTGATATAACGTCATTTTCTGGAGCAACAGCAGCGATGCCAAACAGATGCCAAATGTTTTGTTCAAAAGGCATCCTGGCATCCTCTTCGTCTACCCCGCATGTCCACAACATAGAAATAGAGAATAATTAAAATACCGGAATTTCACTTTCTACATGGCCTCACTCTCTTGCTCGCTCCTTACATTGACCTCACAGCCACGTCACTCTCGTGCCACGCCTGAATTCAATCCCACGGATTTAACGTGAAAGACAGTAGACAGCAACGTTTATTGTTATTATAGTTTTTAAGCCCATCAAAGACATCACCAGTTCACCACGATGTGTTATTGGATGGGCCCTACTGTGTTTTGCCATAAAAATAAATAATCCCCCCTACAAGAGTGATATGGTCAGATGGCTCTAAAATTTTAACATTTTAGATAACTTGTCTAAAATTCACCCCGAATTTTTAACATTTCTCTTAAATTTATCATAATTTTTTAAAATATCCAGGAAACCCATGTCAGTAATTTGATGTGCCAAAGGCAGCCTAAGAGGTATTAGTAGATTACTATTTTACCTTTTGTTATATTTGACCCATTTTTCAATATTTTAGAAATGCACCTATTATTATTCGACCCAAAACCCATTTTTCAGCTTTCTTGAAATATTTTCAAGCAGCACAATGAGAGCAAATGACTCAGTAGAAATCTTATATATAAAAGGTAGTTGGGTGTTTAATGGCATTTTAGTTATAAAATATGTTTAATAAAGCTGATTCGCCATTCATGGGCAATTTGGTTATGAAAATTGCTTTTATGCTGATGTGGACTATTTCTATCAATGTATACTAACAGTGCTCTTAGATGGTGAGTTTTGAAAAACAAAAACTTACTGACATGAGATTTTCTATACATTTTGAAAAGTCATGATAAGTCAAGAGAAATGCTCAAAAGTCATGGTGAGTTTAAGACAACTTTCTTAACATTTTTTTTTTGGATTAACATGTCATATAATGAGGCTTGAATCTGTTACTCATGAGCTATTCCCACATGTCTCTACCCACAAGACATTACAACTGCATATTAGGAATATCTCCCTTGTCATTCGGAGATGTTCCCAGTACATGGTGATAATCTGGGTAAGAATGTGGGAATAATTTGTGGGTAAGATTTAGAGTGGTCCTAATCAATATCGTGCAATTTGCACATGCTTTTCACACAAGAACGGATGAGCCGAAGATAAACATGCACACAAGGCTGGACCACCCACTATGAGCGAACATACCAATTCAGATCTGGTCCCAATACAGGGTCTCAACAATCAGCTTTTCCGGGCAAGAGTTACTTAGGAAAATTGTGGTTCTAGTATAGTCACATTTCAACTTATTTGGGTAAAGATGGTGGCAAGAGATTTTTATGTTTTTTGGGCTTGGGGGATAATAACTTACCCACCCCAAGGAGAGGAGCCCAAAATAATCTTTTTGTAGGTCTCATTGTCATTATATTGGTGCTCAAATGTGAGATTGGTCAATTATTTGCAGTGGTACTGGACCTATATTCAAACTTTTCTTAGGTAGACATGGGGTTCATGTAGGATTCACACTATTTTGTATAGAGTTGGTGATTGTCTAATACATTCTAATCAAGGTTTTTAAAATTGAACCAAACAACGAATCGGTCAGGGGTTGGGTTTCTGGGTCAAACAGTCCGATCATTCGGACTGAATGAACGGTCTATTCTGACAAAAAATTAAAAAAAATTTAAAAAATAAAAACGGCCAAAACCATTAGACGGTTCAAACAATTCAACTACCCGAATCAACGGTTTGCTAACCAAATCAACAGTTTTTGACAAAATAACAGTTATGGGGTAAAACGGAATCGATCACCAGATCGGTTCCCGATTTTTTAGTCCAATTGTCCGCTCTAGTCCAGTTTTAAAAATCATGATTCTAATAGTTTAATTTGCATTTGGATCTCTACCCACAAGGATCCTACTCACACCAGCTATACATTGGAAACATCTTTCATATGATGTTCTCAATGTACAACAGTAATGTCGTGTAGGAGATCCGGATTCTTCTAATTCAGATTAATTGGACGTGAATTAATTATAATTTTTAGGGTAAATTACAAAGACCCTCCTATACTATGGGGTTTGTGACAAAGACCCCCCTGTACTTTGTTTTGTGACAAAGACCCCCCTATACTATGACCGTGAGACAAAGACCCCCTTTTGTCAAAATTCACTATTACAATATTTTTTAACCCCCATACTACCCTTATTAATTGTATAGCGTCGTTTGCTCCAACTATGACGCTATCTTCCTCTCCAAAGCAGCTCGACAATCGTCACGTTTAATATGCTCGCCGTCTTGTAGATGAAGATGATCCTGAGAGTGACCTCGAGCTCCTTTCCTAGGCAGATTCATAATTATCTCTAGAAGCTCTCTCTGCTCCGCCTTAGAAGCAATGGATGCCAAGGATGGTTTCCTGTTGGAACGCGAAAGATGCATCGTTTGCAGAGATATTGCTCTGCGAGTGTGACAATGGTGGCACTATTGCCGAAATTGCAGGTAGTGTTGGACAAGCCATTCTTGAGGGCATAATCGTTGAAGGTGTAGGAGGCCATAGATTGGATATGAAGGGATGGGAGATCCATCATATGGATGGCTGAACCCTGCAGGAAGGTTCACGCCCAAAGAGTGTACCAAATCCTCCCTCCACTGAAGATGACAACTTAGGATGAGGCAGGATTAGCAGGTAGTTCTTCACCAAGAACTAGTGATTCTTTAGTAAGAATCGAATGGAATAGTGAGCACAGCTTATAAATTGTTTCTTCTGGCAAGAAACAATATCAAGATCAAATCCAAGAAATAGAGATAGAACAAGGTAGGGTGGCAAGAGCAGGAAGAAAAAAAACTAAAGGCAAGATCAGTCTAACTGAGTTGTCTTCTCTCTGTATTGAGTGAGTCATTTTTCAGGTCCGCCTTGCTCTCTTATTTATAGCCTTAAAGAGACAACTTCCTAATTTCAAGGATAATCCCTTATCTTATTAGGAGTTTCTTAATCCAAGTAAAGATTTGGATCCGGACTCTTTAAGTGGTAAGGATAATCCCTTATCTTATTTGCAGATAAAGATCAACATTCCTAATCAAATTAGGAGTTCCTTGATCCAAATCTCTATTTGGATTTGAACTCTTTAAGTGGATAAGAGTAACCTTCTTATTCTTATCTGCTGATCCAAACCAAGATCCGCCCCTATTTAATTAATCCAATTAACCTAGTTCGAAATGGACTTTTAGGCCCATTAAGCTTTTAGACTCACTTCCTATTTAATGTTGGCTAGCTTGGCTCTCTTTGTATGGTGTGGGATCCTATCATTGATCTACACATCAGCCACATGGGTTCAGCCTAGCCTCTGTTACAAGGCCTGGCCGAATTC